GAAGGCAGCCGAAAGGCAGCCGAATGGCAGTCGATTGGCAGCCGGAAGGCAGCCGAAAGGCAGCCGAATGGCAGTCGATTGGCAGCCGGAAGGCAGCCGAAAGGCAGCCGAATGGCAGCCGGAAGGCAGCCGAATGGCAGCCGAATGGCAGCCGGAAGGCAGCTGGAAGGCAGCCCACTTCCCCGCAACTCCCAGCGAAATCCCCTCCAACTTCCATCCACTTGAGTCACTCCCTCTTGCATATTTTTTTACTCTGACTCCAACCTTTCACTGAATTACAGGCTCTGACCAGGAGATGAAGCTTCTCCTTAGATCGTGAAGATTCTCAGTCATCCAGGTTATAGTCATTTCAAAAAGCTTCCTGGATGGAGAAACGTCTTCAAATTTGGAAACAAAGTCCGGTGGATTGGTTCATAAATTTTTTTGGAATATTTCTTTTGGCAGGGGTTGATGTTAAGGATTTTTATACTGGGCAAGTAAAAATTGTTTCTGGGCAAATGAAATGTGAAAGTCACTTGCCCTTCAGGCAAGTGGTAAAAATCCTTAAGTGAACCCCTGTCATTGTTTGATCGACTCGATTGAAAGACCTTCTCCTGTCTGCAAACCTTTAGATATAAAGGAAAGCTTCTGCGTCGGCTCATCGTGTTTTCTTCTGGGTTCATCAGCCAACTGACCTTTAAGCGCCAGGGAGCGTCATCACAGATCCTTCCTCTCAGCAGCTGGAAGACTTTACAACCATCACTGTTCCCGCCAACGTCAATAGGTTCAGGCTGATTTTGCACAATTTCTATCTTGGTCAGTTAAATAACCTGCTGCTGTTATTTTGCACATCTCTGATGTTGCTGCTATTTTCAAATATCCAATACTTTAAAAATGTCCAAAGCTGAATATTGGTTGTTTATTCTCCAGGTGAACAGTTTTCATACTATAAAAATACCTTACAGTACAGTATTCTACTGTTTTTCTTTTAAATCTTCACTATTATGTTATTCTAATACATTTTTTCTAAGGTCCACGTTTGTGTGACCATTTTTTTTCTATAACCTTGCTGCTGCTGTAAACACAAGAATTTCCTAATTGTGGGACATGAAAGGGATTTTCTACTCTGTTTAAGGGATGCATGAAGGTTTCCTGTAGCAACCAATCAGAGCTCAGCTGCAGACAAAGTAGCCGTCCTCTCTGTTTGTTTAGCGTTTTGACTTCCTGAGAGAAATCTGAGCCAAAAACAGATTGCAGCGTTTCGCCGGCGGAACCATCGGTCAGAA